GGGCGGCCGCGGGTCCCTGCGGGCTGAGCCGCGGCATTCGCCGGGTGTCGGCGTTGGGAGGCTTCGAGTTTTATTTTACGTTTTCTTTTTACGAAGGCAGCGATTTGCTCTGCCAGAGAGATGGTATCTGACCGCCAGAAGCTCTAGTTCTGTGGGTGCCTGAAGATCTAGTTCTGTGAGTTCCCGCCTGTGCCCACCGCTGTGCAGATAAGGGCGCTGCTCTTGAGTTAGCAAGCACATGTAGGATGGGACCAGGTGTGGAAAAGACGTTTACGGAGTTATTTTCTGAAGTAAAAGTCAAATGAATATAAATTTTTTTTACAGAAGTCTTGAAAATACTACCCACGTGGAAATGTGTTTTGAATTTTTGTTTGTTTTTTTTTTCTGAATGCAAAAGATGTAAACGGTACTTTAACTTACAAATGGGTTATGCCTGTCTATCATTTCTCCCTAGGTTAATCTATACAGTTTAAACTTTTTTTTCTTCATGTGTAATTTTTGAACAAAATACTGTCGGAGCGTTTTTAGGGGAAGAAAATTGAGGCTTTGAGCCTCAAGTGGTTACTTATGTTTGTGCTTTGTGTTTTTTTATTTTTAAGAAGAGTTGACTTTGGCACGTGCTTATATATTTCTAGGATTTATATTCATTATATCTGCTTTAAAATTTACTTGTTTCAGATATTGTAAATGTAATATTCTACCTCTCTCCCATCTCAGGCTTTTGCAAAGCTTCCTAGAAAATTTTACTTAGATTTTTGCTATATACCGTATTACAATTTTACTTAAAAAGTAAGTTTCTTTTGAGTTCAAGTTAAAATTGGTTGGACTGAGGTACTGGTTACTAATTTCTGGCTTGTTTTTAAGTTGTCTTATGCTTACCAGTTACAAATGCCTGAGAAATAGTGATGCAGCTAAGGTTAAAATAGGCCTTGTTAGGAAGAGTTTGTCTAGTGATTTTTAATCCCATTGATTAATTTGAATTTGTATTGCATTCCATGGTGTTCTTTGGGAGGGAACATGTTATCTGTATGTGAGTTTTCTGTCTTGAGTATTTTAAAAATGCACATAATGTAAGATTGCAAAGGATTTGTGCTTTTCAGCTTATTCTTTCAATTATGCCTATATTTACACCTTTAAAGATATATTTCCTTTTGTTTCCAGACCATTTTTCACTATTCCTCCTGACTGTGGCCTTTTCTGAGTTTTACATATTTACCTCTTCTGTGTATGTGGGAGAATGTCAAGGCTGATGAAGAATTAAAGTCAAAGTCTTTTCTTAATGTGTAAGTCTGACTTTGTAGTTTTAAAGAGCACTGGGAGTTGTGGTTTTTTTTTTTCTAGTTGGTTGTTTCTAGTAAATACTTTTATTTATCATGCCGCAGGTTCTTGTCGATAGTGGCATGATTCCTGATAATAACAAAGTTAAATTGTAATTTGTGTGGTTAATTAGAGATCTCATCAGGTTTGGATATACGCAGCTGAGACTATTTGCCAAGAATAAATGTGTTAGTTAGTGAAAGGTTGCCCAATTGAGGACCATGTTGGTCCCATGTTAATAAAATCCTGAGTTCTTTGCAGCGTATTGCATTCGCTTCTGATTTTCATAGTGTTAACTGCACACGTTTCAAGTTTCAATATTTGACAGTATAACATTTTAATCTGAATGACAGGCAGCTGCCGTCAGGGTTAATTTTCACGTGTTGCATCTGTGTATTAACATTTTTTCAGCAAAGAAGTAATTTTGAATTATTCTTTATGTGAGAGTTCAGCTTGCTCCTGATCAAATAAGAGATTTACCATTGACAAGAGAAAGCATTACCGTATAGTGCTCTCTTCGTGTAAATGGGGTGTAATGTGGATGCTGAGTTCTCTTTTGAAGGCTGAAAGTAGAGTAACGTCCCATGTGTTCATCTCCTGTATGGAAGATAGGAAATGTATGTTAGCTTAAAAAAAAATTTAAAAAATCCTGTACCAAAAGTGTTGCCCAAGGAAGGATTGTGTGTGTTTTTGTGGTTTGTGGGTTGGTTGTGTATTTTTTTGTTTGTGAATGTCAAATGTGTAGTTGAAATCTTGCAGGTGTCATAGCTGAAGCACACAATTAGTTGATTTTATTTGACATTGGAACCTGTATAAAATGTTTGTCTGTTATGCTTACTATGATTTAGAATTATGCAGAATTGCTTATATCTTCCTAAGCATATAAAGCATATGCTTAAAAACAAACAAACAAAAACCTAAGTATTTGCTTTTCTTGCTGTGTGATACACCAATGTGGGCTTGCAAATTTTTCAGTCTCCATTTTCTTTGTCAGGTATTTATTTACATGTTTAATGCTAGATAGTTTCTTCTCATAAGACTGTGGGAAAATACTTGGAAGACCTTAGTGGTGATGGTTATGATGGCCTGGAGCTCTAGAAGTAGGTCTTGCACTTCATCACAATTAGGGAGAGGGTGGGATAGTTCTTTCAGTTTGAGTGTGAATAAATAGGATGATATAATGAGTTCCAAGTTTCTGTTGCTTCAGGGTGAGCAGGGGAATAGTGGAGAGAGCACCGCTGATCAGATTTCACACAACACTTTCTAACTTCTGCTGGTAAAGGAGGTGATGCTATGACTTCTGTTATGAAAAAAAATATTTGTAAAAAGTATTATATACTAGTGAAGAAACAGTCCTTGTTACTTTTCAGTTTCAGTTTTGAAAATCCAAATGACTTTCCCTGCTATTCTATTTCTGTTGATTTTATGTTGACATGTGGGAGTGTTGTTCAAGCATAGTCTTGAGCTGCTATAAATTGTCAGTGCAGCCTGTTGCAGAAACACTGACATGAAGTCTGTAGCAATACAATGGTGCTGACCATACCTGTTTGAGCCTTGTAATCCATAGAGGATGGCTGTTGTCAGTCATGCTCTTCTTCTCAAAAGATTAACATGTACCCAGGAACATATAGTGAGAAACCAAAGTTAACTTTCATGGTTTCTTTTTTTTTTTAATCTCTTGAGTACATCACAGTTGTGGGGATAGTAAAGGTAGGCATGTGGAAAATTCATTGTAGGTTTGTGGTGACTTTTGAAGTATATATTTTATCACTTTTGGGTTGTTGTTTTGGTGTGGGGTTTTTCTTCTTTTTTCCTTTACTTTTTTTCTCCTTTTTTTACTTTACTTTTTTCTCCTTTTTTTACTTTACTTTTTTTCTCCTTTTTTACTTTACTTTTTTTCTCCCTTTTTTACTTTACTTTTTTTGAGTACAATAGTTAAGTTCTTGCTGAGTAACAGCCTTGAGTAACATAAATACCAGCTTCTACTAAATTTGACTTTTTTAGTACTTCAGCTACATTCAGTTAGTGGTCCATGTCACAGTGGAGCTACTGCGTTTGTATTTGCTTGAAGTCTTGAATAAGTAATAAATGCTAGCTTCATTTTCTAAAAGCAGCTCTTGGGATTTCTCATGCTTAGAGACTGTCCTGGTGAGAGAGAACCAAAATTCAGTGGCATGGAATTTCAATGTTTTCATCTTTCAGTCAATGATGTCCTTTTCAGCTTGTTTTTCAATATATATATTTTTTTTTTTGTGATGGGGAAAAAAACCCAAACAACAAACCAGCAAAAAAAGTTGCAGTGTGAATTTTTTTTTCTGCCTCATCCTTTTTTCTCTCTAAAACTTCCATGATTAGCATGTATTTGTGATTTGTAATGAGTGTTCTAATTGCATTAGTTGTAAACTTTTCTGTTTGTTTTCTGCTTTCAGGAGAATAAAATGGGGAAGTTGTAGAACCTTGAGAATAACTCGGCAGAGCAGTCCTGTTTGCTGCAGGAGCTAAGACTAGTATCAAGAATTCTCTCAAAGAAAAGGAAAACCTAAAATCATGCCATCTGAAAAAGAACACTTTTTTCCTGATAAAAAGGAAATTAACTTGTTGAAACAAAATGCTGCAAAGAATTTTTCTACAAATACTGCTTTTGAAAAAGCACTGGTGAATCATCCCTTAAGTATGACAACTCAGCCAGCAATTTTAAATGTCAATCTTTCTTACAAACTAAAAAATGTGAAAATCGATTTACCCAAGGTGAACATTCCAAATGAAGTATTAATGAAACATGAAGTTGAAAGATTTAGAAAACTCTTTCAGTGTAAACAGCAAACTGCAAGGAAGTCCTTAAGTCTAGAGAAAATAAATGGAAGCAATCCCAGTTGTTCAGAGGGAAGCCACTTGCAAAGTAAACCAGAAGTGCAATTTGAAGAAGGGTTGAAAACTACAGCAAAGATACTGAATTTCAGTTGTACAAAATGCAAGGATAACATTAGATACAGCCCGAATGATCTACAGAAACATTTTCAGCTGTTACACTATGGCGAGTTGCCTTTATATCCTTGCGAGATGTGTAGTTTCTCAGCAAATGACTTTCAGTCATTTAAACAGCATAGACGCACCCACCGTAGCACTTTAGTAAAATGTGAGCTCTGTAATGATGAGCATATGTACACTTTGTTGGCTTTGACAAAACACTTTACATCAAAGCATTGTGTAAATGGCCACTTTCAGTGTGAAAAGTGTGGGTTTTCTACCAAGGATGTGGGCACATTTGTTCAGCACATTCACAAACATAATGAAATTACTTATCAATGTGAAAAATGCCATTACATAAGCTTTTCAGAAGAGGAGTTTCAGAAGCATCTTCTTGTTCATACTAGCGTGTTGCCTTTTGCTTGTCAGTACTGCAGTTACAGAGCATCACGGAAAGATTATCTTGTAAAGCACATCATAGCTTTACATAGAGACCACTTATATGCAAAAGAAAAACTGGAAAAGGATAAATGTGAAAAAAGACTAGTGAAGACTCCAGCAGGACTCAAGCTTGTGTTAAGAAGGTATAAAACGGGAGCATCGAAAAAAGCACTGTGGAAACGGAAAAAAATCAGCAGTGGAAGTGACAAAACTGGAGAAGAAAATGCGCAAGTGCTAAGAAGCGTGAATAAAATTCAAACCAAATCTGAGGAGCTGAACCAGTGTATGAGAGATGTGGAAGCAAATGAAGAAAAAGATGAAATTATATACACAGAAAAGCATAATTTAATGGGTGGAATGCTCTCTGCTACTACTGCACAATACAGTAAAGCAGATGATGGAACAAGTTACAGCCTGGGATTATTGAAGAATGCTGTTCATGGGCCAACGGTATTGATGGTCAAAAACAATAAAATATCTGTTCCAGCAAATTACAGTGCTAAATTTATGGGATTTAAAATGGTAGATGGAAAACAACATATTGTTATAAAATTATTACCTACAAGTAAGCAAAACTTACATTTGTTAGGTCAGAAAGCTGATCTTATTCAAGATGGTTCTACAACTCCTTTGCTACAGACTGCTGATCCCTATGGCTTGTGTTCAGGTGCTATGCCACATGTAACTGATCAGTCAACTGTAAAGAACAACTCTATTCACCCATTAACCTCCCCTCCATTTTCTTGTTCTGCTCCTCATTCAGGAAAAACAAAAGTGGAAAAACAAAATAGCTCCTTATTGTACGGTAGGAGTGTTTCTCAAACTGTAGCACCTTCTAATGTAGCTGTAGGAAAAGGTTTGAATTACTTGCCAATGAAGTTGGACTCAAATGTACCTCCATGTGATGAGGTAACAAAAGTTGGAACTCGAAGTAATATCTCATGGGGAAGCTATAGTTCTCCAAGTCATCCTCAGGTATTACCACCCACTATTACAAATACACGTCACTATGACCCTGTGAAAATGCCCTTCTTTCCTGAACTGAAACTACAAAATGGTGGCCTGAATAATAGTAATGGAACTAATAATCTCTATTTTTCAACTTCAGTGGATTCTTCTAATGAAGGGTTGCTGTCTTTTCATAATTATTCCAAAATGAACACTTCAGATAATCCATGTAGCATTTGGATGTCGTCAGATGACAGATATAAAGAATTTTTATCTAGCAAAACAGCTTCTTTTCAAAACAGTAGAAGAACTGAATCTGCATCTTCATATTCTGAATTTATGAAAAGCTTAGCAGAGAAAGTTGTATCAGCTCAGTCAAACATGAATAAAACTTATGGGCACACTAGCAGTAACTCTGTGTCTTCTAAAAGCCAATCTAAATGTGTTGTTGGCAGTGAGTGTTTTATGGAGGACCAGCATAATGGCCAGCAGTATTTGGACACTAACATGCATCAAGGCTTTGAGAACATAGCTGAGAAATTCCAAGAAAATGCCTCAGATTGTGTTAACTCGGTCTTAATGCCTAAAATCACATCTGTTTTCTCATTGCAAAGTGAACAGGCAACTAATTATTTATCACCTGAAATAAAGCAGGTACTGCAAGATGTGTTAAAAGTGAAGGCAACTACTCAGCAAGAATCCCACAGCAAGTCAAATAACTGCCTAAAACTTCATTCTGACAAGCTGCTTTCTGGTCATGAGACGGGGAATAAAGCCTTTACACATTTAAAAAGCTCAGCAACTGCATGTGGTTTTCAGAGGCTTCCTACTAATGTAGACTTTCATTTATGTAAGAGAGAGTTGAACACAAGATGTAGCACAAATGAGGGTACGCATTGTGGGAGAGAAGCACAGACACCCAGAACATCATTTGATTCACGGAGAATGGATAAATTATCCAGAACTCCAGGTGTTGGTACATTGCTAAAAACTCATACAGATGCAATCATAACACAGCAGTTAGTAAAAGATAAAATACTATCTGCAACCCAAAATCCTAGTAACTTTTCACCAGTTCAGGAACAGAGGAAACCCCTTTTAGTTCAGTCCTCACCATCAGGATTTTTTGTTCCTTTGCACCTTGCTAACAAGCCTGGGCTACAGGTGATTTCAGGAAAAACTCTTCCATCAACTAGTTCGTCAGATGGGCATGTGACTAAAGGTGTACCTGCATCCTTTGTTATAAATAAAGGACCTGGAATGATTTTGACTTTCAGTGGGGCAATTGGAACAGTTGCCAGTGTTCCTAGTGATACTTCTCAGGTTTTAGGGAGAGTTGCATCCAGAGAATATGGCAAAATAACCATACCAGTTTCAAAAATGGAGAGGGAAAAGGACAGTTTTGGAAGTGTACAAAGTTCCTGTAATAGGAGAGCATGTAGCACAGCAAATGACTCATTGAATAATGTGTCATTTAAAGGACCTCTAGTAATTACAAACTTGGCGGAGTCATCTGTGAAAGCAGTTTCTTCTGTGAAGGTGTTACCAGAGCATCAGGATGCTGTCTTTGGCTCTTTGGAATCAGTAAACCCACAAGAAATGAAACAGAAACAACATGTTTATGCCCTTTTGCCTGATGGACAACAGGCAGTTTTTCTGAAGTGTGTGACACCAAACGAGCCTGTAGTTCATAAACATAGTGTTTTTCAGGATAACGCTCATTATCAAAATAGTCAACCAAAGAAAACTGGAGCCATGCAACAAAAGCTTTTGCTGAAAATTAAGACTTCTACTTCAGATATGCTGGCTGATACCACTCGATCAGTAAGCAACTCAGTGCCCTCACCACAGCTGGATAACTTGCAGTCCTTTACTCCTGCACTATCACAGAAACAAACTACTAATCTTACTTCTAATGATGCCTTAATCTTACCAGGTAGCTTAATGCCAGCAAATGCCTCTTTGGCAAGCGCTAATCCAGCATGTTGTGTTCCTCCTGTAGAACCTGTCTATTCTACTGAGTCTACAGGGACATGTTTGCAAAAAGGTTCCGTTGAGAGTAGGCAAGTAATGACTGCTAACAACAGGAGTAACTTTGACAGTCAGAAATCCACATGGAGGACTCAAAACAGAACCCCAAAAGTAAAATCTCGTTTGAAAAAAACTGGGTCTAAAAGTTCAGAAACTGTGGGAATACAAAGAAACAAGAATTTCAAACGGAAAAGTAAGGATAATTGCCCAGAACCTCCAAGAAAGAAAGTAATGTTGCACAGAAAGTGTAAGGAAAAGAATCAAGCTGAAGTTGCTAGTCAATCAGGTGGCCTGAGGGCATCAAAAGAAACTGTGAGGATTTTGAAATTACTTCCTTTTAGTTCTAAACAGCTTGTAAAATGCCCTCGGAGAAATCAACCAGTTGTTGTGCTTAACCATCCTGATGCAGATGTTCCAGAAGTTGTAAATGTGATGAAAACCGTTGCTAAATTTAAGGGACATGTTCTTAAGGTTTCATTGTCAAAAAGAACTATGGACGCACTTCTGCAGCCAGCCTTCTCCAGTCCTTTAGATGTAACTACTGATGGTCTTTCTCAAAAAAGGCACAGGACAATAAAACCTATTAGCCCTGTAAAAGAAAGATTTGTCTTAAAACTAACACTGAAAAAGACTAGCAAAAACAATTATCAGATTGTGAAAACTACCTCTGACAATACCTTGAAAGCTAAGTTTAGCTGCTGGTTTTGCGGTAGAATATTTGACAATCAGGATAATTGGGTAGGACATGGACAGAGGCATCTGATGGAGGCTACTCGAGATTGGAATTCATTAATGTAATTATGACCAGTGAAGAAAACTTAAATTTTGTAAGTTACAGTTTTTAAAAAAGAGAATCAACTGAATTGGGATATACAAGGAATTTTGTATTTCAGTATTGTTAACTGAAGTTTAAAAATGATGCAAAGTGCTTGTATTTCAAAAGGAAAAGTAGATTATTGCCATCAAGCTTTGAGACAGAGCAAGGAGCTTTGTGGTTTAGATAATTTGTAACTAACTGCAAATACAATTCCATAAAAAGATATATTATTTTTTGTTACTACTATCATGTCCTATATTTTTATTCTATACAATGAATCTTCAGGGGTTTTGTTCTGTACATATTTTAAAAAAACCTAAACATGTAAATATTTTTGTACTTTTCAGTTATTTGGTATAATTCTTGCACAGAAATTACCCCCTGCCCCCCATTTTTCAGTTCTGTGCATGCACTACTAAAACAAATTTTAAAATTTTTTTCAACTACACACAGCTGTTATCCTGAGGTTTTTTTTCTTTTCACTTGTTAGCTCTTGATTTTGTTTTTCAGGGATTGAACACTATTGTTAGCAAGTGCCTAAAAGATGTGAAGCAGTTTACATTATGTCAACTGTGTAACTATAGGTCCATATAGGGCCACTTCCCCAATAGTTTCATTTAAACAAAGCCATATGTGAATGCTTTAAGCTATATTGCTATGCACATGACACTTGTACTATTTCTGTGCAGTTTGTCTACTTTCTTAGTGAAGTATTTTTCATATAAATTAATAAAACATGTTACGATTGTGTTAATATGGTGAGCCTGAGAATGGAATCAGTTGAAAATATACAGTATATATATATTCATAATGTATATGGTGTTTAAAAATGGTGAACATTCCTAATCTGTATTGACTCTGTCACAATTAAATTTGCTATAACTTGTGTTTACAGAATATGACTGTGAGCATTTATAGAAAATATTTCTATTTTGTTTTATACTACGTCTGCCACAAACCTTCTAGGAAGGCCAGGATATGATCAAGTGCAAAGCACCATTTCAGGCCTGTAACTGTGTTATAGGTTTATTCCAGGTGGATGTAATTTGTCCCCATAATGACTAAATAGTATTTTCTACTATTGCTTATTCAGATTAACTGCCTTTTAGGGTACCAGGGGTTTCGCAAAGCCAGGGCTTAATTTCTTCCTCCCTCGTTCTTCCTCACCCGCATAGTTGGGTGAACCAACACAGAGTTGGTCTGTGCTGTGTCAAAATTGGAGTATTTTGTACTGCACAGTGGGCTTGAGCTTTGACATGAATTTGGCTAGGAACTTTGAAGAAGACTAATGGTGAGGAATCACATTGGAAAGAAACAGCATTAGGAAAGGACAAAAATGTGTTAAGCTTTTTGGACTGGAAGGATCTATTTGCTGCATCAGCTTACTGTCCTATAAACCCTGAATTTGAACTGCTAAATTGTGGACATTGCCTTTGCCTCCTTTGGCAGACATTTTTGTGAGTTTTCTTGCTAAAACCTGCTAGATGCAACTTCACCAAGCATGACCAATTTTTGTTCACAGTTACTTAGCTTTGAGGTGAAAGTTCTGTAGAGTTGGGTTTTTCTCTGTATCAGTGAATCCTGAGAGTGAGAACTGTCATAGGAATTTTTTTCCCTCCAACTTATTTTGCTATGAGTTGGGTAACCTTAGACAATACTATGAAACAGAACACTGTAAAGCTAGGACATGTTGAAATAATGTTGCTTTATACAGTCTTAATTAATTGTCGTGTGTCACCTTTATCCATGGACATCCATCTCATTCAGTACTGAGAACTGTTGTTCCCTCTTCAACAGTGATTTTGTGATTTTGTTTCCCCACCCTTAATTATGTCCTGCTATAATTTAGCACACATTGTTCAAGTACTGTTCTGAATATATAATTATTTTTTCTTATGAGCTTTTCCATAATGCTTTGTTTGATGTCCTGAGTTTGGCACTGCTGCAGATCAGATGCCAAGGATTTGCAAGTGAGACATCCATGAAATTAAGATGACAGTTAATGATCATCAGGAGAAAGTTTGACTTAAACAATATGACCAGCATCACAGTGGATAGTGCAGTAAAAGGTGTGGGGACAATATACAGTTCCCCAATGAATGGCTTGACTGCTTTAGCAATGTGCTTTAACAATGCTTTATATGCTGTCTTTTTAATGCCTGACTCCTGCAAGGTTTATTCATACATTTCTCATCATCTTCAGTAAATGGGAAAGGTATCTTAAAAATATCCTACCAAAAAGTGTAATTACAGAGATAAGATTTATCCCTGAAGTATCTTGTGAAACATATAAATCCACATGGAAAAATAGTCAATGATCATATATTTAATGCTTGTATGGTAATGGATATATCTGATGTGATAAATTAAGATTGAACAGGTAATCTGATTGGAAGGGTATCTTGAGTGCTTGATTTTGGAGCCATAACATGTTAAGATAGCTTGTTACTTTGTGCATATAGCAAGATAATAAAATCTTAAGTTGGTTACAGAGTTTTGGGACATACAGAAATAGGTGCAAGTCCAGCATCAACACGTGTTTTTCCTCTAAGAAAATGTTTTGTAAATATATACTTGGCCTAAGCCTTACTTGTAGTGTTCATGTGTTTGTGTACAGTGATCTTAAAGAGGCCTAAAATCTGATATTGTGTATTCCTTGCTAGAAGAGTATTCATCAGTAAGTCATGGTTTCTCTTCCTCAGGAATTCTAATGTTTTAACAAAAAACTTGTGTTCAATATTTGTTCCAGGGCTGTTGTCATGTGAGACGTTTTTTTTTACCACACTTCCTAAGAATCTGCCTGCTGCTGGTGGTTTAGATTGAAGGAGGAATGTAGTTTTGTAACTTGCATGTCTGAACACTTGGATTTTTGAGAATGCAAGTTCTTATTCCTTTCATGGAATGACATTCTCAGGAATGATTTGCAGAACTCATTGTACTCTCTGTATCAGGTAGGCAGGACAACAATTCCATCTTTTGTACATTAGTAAATATGATAATTGCAAATTTTTTTAGTTCTATTTTTAGGTTTTCCTTTCATTATTTTTTTTTGTTGTGGTGTTGTTTTTTCCCCCTACCCCCATTCAGTTAATGACAATTATATGAAAGAGAAATTAGCCAACAATTTCAAAGAAATAGGGGGAAAGAGGTGTGTTGCTGTGTTTGTCAGACTTTCCTGCTTCCTAGTGGAAACACCTGACTCTTAACATGGCAGCTGCTGGCACTGCAACAGTTCTAAGATAAAGTTTCAGGTATAGGATTGCACCAAGTTACCATTTTCTAGGTTCTGTTTTGGCTGCTGAATCAATGATGTCATGATTTTTAACACAGCATGCTCCATCCTGAGTACTAATCTATTTTATATCCTTGTGAAATGTAATTTTATATTTTTTCTTGCTCAAACCTTTACCTTCTCCAGCTAGAGTTGCGTTTCAAGGTATGTCTACACCACAGTCTGCCCAAGATGTAAAAAATCCAGCTTTGGTATGGAAAGCAGAGTAACTAGTCTGCTTCCAGTGTAAAACTGTGAGTATAGTAAAATAGATGATCATATACTGGTCTGTTTGTTTGTTTGTTTTTAACCATAGAGCCTTATTTTGTGCCTAGGATGTTCTCATCCCAGGATGAGTGGATTATTTTGTGAAAGGTGGTGTTGCCTATCAGATCCCTCCATAATATTCTCAAAGCTGTAAGGTAGCGCTTTAATGATGTAGAACATAGCTAAAAAGAAAAGAAGGGCTTGAGGATGAAAGTAGTTGCCTGTTTATCTAAAGTGTTTTTATTTGTATGTCAGCCACAAAGTTGCATTTAATGCTGCGCACTTAGAGCTGAGGAGCAGGAGCAGCAGTGCTTTGAGTTTGGAAAGGACTCAGTATTGCAAGTTATCTTAAAAAAAAACAAGAAAGGTACTTAGTTTCCCACATAGAAGCCTATAGCTACACATGAATTTGACTTTTTCTTGCCTTTTTCTTCCCCAGTTCTAGAATGATCATGGTACTACACATTTATCTTAGAAAGAAATGTTTGAAGAACCTAGACATTTGTGTGAGGTGCAACATATAAAGGTTAACAAGAAACAGTTATGTTAAAGACAAAGTCTAAATACTCTGCAGTACATGAGTGAATAAGGCAAGGACTCATACATGTATGCAAAGCTAAATATTGAATGGCTGCTTTTTCACAGAATTATTTTCCATTGTGAGTATTGCTTGAAATAGTTTCATGTAACTAAATAATATCAGAGTATACATATGGAAGGAATAAATTAAGCTCACAGGGTTAATAACTTGAGTTAATTTTGAGACTTTGACATGGTAATCTTAATACTTTAAACATTACACTAGGTCTATGAGTAGTATTAGTAGAATACTAATTAATACCACTGAAAAATATACTGAGCATAGTAGTTTTGTAGTATTATGAAGTCTTATCATAAGCAGGCATGTGTAAAGTCTGTTTACATTGTTTCTTACTTGCCCGTGTCTCATTTGCTTCACATCTGGGGTAAATATTGCCTGTGTTGCAGAGGGAAGAAACAGAAGCAGCAAGGTAGGTAGCCATGTGCTGAACAGCTTTGTCATGTTAGTAAGCAGTTCTTTCTAGAAGAAAGATGCATCACTTGTAGAAGTAATTGATCAAAACCACAGGAAGTAGTTGCAGGACACAGATCCAACATAGCTCTAGGTGACTTGCTGAGACTTTTCTAGTCTTGGCTCAATCTTGCCTTAAATGCCCTGCAGATAATCCTAGAGAGCACTGCTTAATCTGGAACAAAATGAACAAAGCAGATACATATAAAGTGTCAGTTTTGGAAAATACCTTTAAAATGGATGAGCTTTCAGTTCCAGTGAAATCGAACACCTCTAGACCTTATTAACAACTGTTCCTAAAAGGTTTTCAATTGGTGCAGTTTATACATTCATCAGTTTAGTTTTCACTATTTTAACCTCTGTGGAAATTACTTTGTTAGCAATAATACAATAAACAAACCACTGTGATAGAACAGGCTTGAAAAAAAGTAGTTCTGCAAGAACTGAGTGGGGTTTAGCAATGAACCAGTGTGCTTGGGTTACCAGCTGTAGGAAATCTGAAGACAAAAGATTTAAGCCATATTAAACCAAATACTAAACCATATACTAAGCCCTATAATAAAGCTGTAAAATGTGGTAAGTTTTTGTAATAACAGATCTTGGGAAGGAGCATATACAAATATATACATTAAAACATCAATGACAGAGAGTTTATGCTTACTTGGCTGGAAGGATGCTAAGAAATGTGATCCAGCAATGCTTCCATGACTTCATAATGTTTTTGAATTTTATTTGCACATTTGAAAATACAAATATTAATGAAACAGAGTAAAGCCAAGGAAAAGGACAACATATATCCATTAATCTAAAATGTTCAGACAGCTTTATTGCCACTAATCACATGAAGTACAGTCCTAGTTTTAGCTTGGACACACCAGTACATTAGGGTGAACTGCTCTAACTTCTGGGGCTGTGCACTTTACAAAGAAATTGCTGAAAACAGTGGATGGAAAACAGTGGCTGAAAACAGAAAATGGGAAGACTAGATCACTGGGAATTTTTAAAGTGAAAATGTCCTATAGGAGCTCTATCTTTAAAGAGCAGTCAAAGGACCAGGCTGTGGTAGGCAGTTGTTCCTTAGATGTCTGAATACCCGTGTTGTCACAGATGGAAATCACAGATGAAAGTGTCTCTCCTCCGGTTTCTTGTGTTAAATATGATGAAAGTGATATGATGAAAGTGACTTGGGGTAGAACTTCTATGAATGGCATCTCTTACTAGGTGCTCTTTAAGAGTGTTTTCCATATTTTTTAATTCTTTTAATACCTGATGCACATGTTTTGTGACGTTGAAAGAAATTATTTTAAAAGTCTTTTTAGCAGTTCAGTTTAAGAAACTCTTACAATGTGTGTCAGTTTTGTTGAGTCTTTGGTGTTGTTTTGGCTGTCAATTAGAACCAGGGAGGTGCGCTGGTGGTTCTCTACTATTTCAGCAACGCTGTCAAAACGCTGGATAGAGAAAACAAAAATTAATTAGTGCTGGCTTCCTCTGAAGCTCTAATATTGACAGTAATCACAGTATCATGTTTTCTTTTTGCTTCTCTCACCACTGGGGAGAGTGGAGCTATGGCTGCTACCAAGTGAGGTACTCTGCCTTTGCAGATCCTGCTCTTTGCCTTGGTTCTAGTAATAAACAGATTGAATTTGGACAGTGAAGGATACTATGGCCATTAGCTGTCTTATCTCGTGCTCATTCCTATTTGTGATTGCTACCTGCACACAATGGTTGTTACATGGCATATTAAACTGCCACTGCTTTCAGTTTACCTCAATATATAGTAGGTTGCAGACCATGGCAGTTTGGAAGCTGGTTCATCTGTGGTTCAGCCACCCCAGTTAGAGGGAAGCTGATCTCCAGGTGTAGTATGGAACAGCCAGCCATAAGCTGATCTCCAGGTATAGTATGGGACAGAGCCATAAATGAGACCCTTTTTAGTTACACAGCTTTAATGTTGCATTTTCTTTTGGTCTTCAATCAAGTACAGGTTTTGGGCTACCTTTCTATTTTCCTACTGAGGTAATTTTTGATCCTTTGTTGAAGGCTATATGATCTCTAGGCTATTATTTATTCTGTAACCTCAAAACTGTTGCCTGGGAGGCAGATAATTAGGCTAAGGCAAGCCTACTTACACATACCTGAAAAGGCTCTCTGCAGTGATGACAATTTTTGTTGGTATTTGGGTTTCAAGTTTCTGTTTAGGTGTCAGAGTAATTATCTGTGTGCTCTAATAGGCAACCAGTGATTTTTGCACTCTAGAACTAGAGTTTAACATTTTCTTTATGAGAAAATAGGATTACAAGTAAATAAACTTAACTAGGGTTCTAGGCAGAAGAAGAAAGGACTACAAACAGCTGGAGAAGCCGCAGCTCTGATCTTGATAAGTTTTCAAAACACTTTTGTGAATATGTTTTAACCTTGGTCTGTGGTTTTAACTACAGTATGCAGGAGCTGTTAACACTGGTTTCTATAGCTTGATAGATCAGTCATTATATAAGCTATAATTTTGTCTTGATACATGAAGAATCCTCTTGGTCATAGTGCAATATCTCTTAATCCTTGCTTATTAAAGGTATATAAGTGAAAACTGTTAGGAAGAAACCCCCACATCATCTCACCTCTTCACCACTTTTTTCTCTGCCCAGTGCGTATTGTCTTGTTGATTCAATAAATCGTATTGGAATGTTGTATACTCTTCTGTTGTAAAACACAACCAGTGTGTATGGTTGCCGTGAGTCCTGTCCAGAGCTCTTCCTTATTAGAAAAGATCCATCCTAAATAGAGAATTAGTAAGTGCTTATTTTTTTTTCCCAACAACTTAGTTCATTTTTAGCTTAATACTTTAATCTGTATTAGCATTAAAACATATTCTCCCATTAGAAGAACTGTGCAGCAGGAGATGGGAAGTAGTATGTATTCCTCCTAACGATACTTTACAAAGCTGTCACTTACGAGTCATCTTTACTGTGGCCTGTCTCAACCAGAGAAAGAAAGAAATACACAGTGGCAGGAGTCTGTTGGTGTCCGCAGATTATTAGGAAATGAAGTTACTATCTGTGGCAGTATGTAGGCAAGAAAGCATTGAGAGATGGAGATACTGTTTCTCCAGAGTGTAAAAAGCACTGATACAAAGTTAGCAACTACAGCTCCTGACACTAGCCCAGTGCTGTGCCCCTTGATCCTGCTTTGTGGAGTTAGGCAAGAGTGGAAATGTATCTGATACCGACCATACAACTTGTTACATGTCACTATTCCCTCTAGCTCTGTTACAACACACAACAGTCGAGTGAACTCAAATTCTCCAAATACCCAAATGCATAGTGTTGCTATTTCAAAATACATAGCAGCATCAGCATTTGCATATAGTAACTGTTTTTTACATGAAATACTAGGAAGTGATGGAGGTAATTTAAAAGTTAGGGAGCTTTGCCTTCTGTTTTAATGAATACAGGTGAGTTATCAGATCTTCCACAGATCTCTAGTCTGTACTAACTTTCTCTGCAGTACAGCAGTCTTTGAGTTACACTGCCTTGAAAAAAATGGCATGAAAACCATAGTTACATAGTTTCACTACAGTAATTTCATGTTTAACAGTATTTGTAGGGCACAGTATTTCAAGTTGTTCAGAATATGACTGTTGTTCTTAGAAAATTTCTGGTTGTCTTTTCATTTTCATTTGAAGGTTTTTCATAAAGTAGACATTCTTTAAAAGTGACCTACCTTATTTGATCGATACAATGCATCTTCTGCCATTTTCCTATCACAGGTAGCAGCATACCATGCTTTACTATAAACACCAGCATCCTAGAAAAAGAGAAACAGTTTCACCTTTAAAATAGTAAAGAATGTGGCCTGTAGGGTAGTTACTATTAAATGGTGACAGCTGTGAAGAACTAAAAGTAAGAACACTTTAGAAAAATCTTAGCTAGGATCTCACTGTTTTTGTTGGACAGAGGAAGGACAAAGAAAAACAAGTGACTTATAACAGTAGTAACAGATGTGTGACAGAAGGCCGGTATGTAGGACAGAAGGGAGAAATATAGATACCTGGAGGAAACTAGTCAGGTTCAACTGAAGGATAATTGGTATTTTTAAAGCATGAAGCTATTCTAGTAGGATTTAAAGAGGATGTCCAGGAAATGTTGAGGAAGAAATCAACCATTAACAATTTAAATGCTGCTCAGCTGTGGACTGCCAATGAAGTGCCAAGATTTGGTAGGCATCTAAGCTTTGCAAATGAAGTTTTACATACACTTAATGCTATTTGTGAACATGATCACACTTGCCCCCATCTGGATAATAACAACAAAAAAGAGTAAAAGATACACTTATCCAATCTCTTGTTGTTATTAAATAAGACCAAATGGATGAAGTCCTACAAAACAGAGCAATAATTAATGCTGCTTCTCTTCTAATACAGCAGTTCAACCCTCAGTGCTTTCTCCTGAGATGTGGTTCAGTTCCAGCTCCCTGTTGAATTGAGTCTGAATATATCCTTACTATTGAAACAGTGCTTTTACCTAAAAGGCACAAAACCATATTTGCTTTGGAGAAGGATTGCATCTGTGACAGAACACAAGAGCAGCATATATTTTATAACGTATCTTGGGTGCCTCATTTCTCTATGTTACTCCCTGTGAACACCTCACCAGGATCATCCTTCTCTCCATTCTGTTAACTGCATGGCAGTTTCTATACAGTAAATGAACAGTGGAAAACATGGGACAGAAAACTTAATGGATGGGGGCATAGGTGCAGAGCTGAAGATAAAAGGCAGAAAGACTGACACCCAAAAGATAGGTGGATTCTGTTTTAGAAGATAAAAGCAAAGAAAAGTGCTATGAGAATGAGTCTAGTAAACCAATCTTTGTTCAACACAAGGAGTCAACTGCTCCCAGACCTTTTTTTTCTAGCACTGTTTGTGGCCTATAAGCTGGAAGCAGATTGCTGCTGCCGAAGTTTGGATGGGAACCAAATAATGAACCTTATGGGCATGAATCATATATGCAAGCACCTGTACTGTGCAGGATGCTACAGCAAATGATACCACTGTACATAACAGTTAATATATTTTCTTCCCTTTTTTTCAAATTGATGTTTTATGAAGCTTTGGTTTTGCCCATGGCTGTTACATAAAAGCTGCAAATGTAATTGCTACAAGCTGTTTATTTAGTGTCTGCTGGATTGTTTATTTGAAAGCAATTTTTATAATAAATATCCAGTATGGCATACTGTACAAGTTTTTCCAGAACTTGAAGTCCTTTATATTCTTCACTGTAGCATTATTTTGTCATGTTAAGCTTTAGAACATTTAACGTTACTGACTCTGCATAATAGAGCGCCTTTGTTTTGCGCTCAACAGAACTATTTTTACCTTGTTTGTAACTACTAGCCTAATAAGAATGTCTTCCTGCATTTTGTGGTCTCCCTTAATCCATCATGCGAGTAAAGAAATAGCACTGAAATATAACTTTGTATTTGCCTAGATTGTTCAAAGCTTAATTTGCAATGGAGCACAGAAAAAAATAATTGGTTGTAAAATGGACAGCATTAATTGTAATGAAGTCTGTTTAAAAGAACAGGAGAGAGAAACACAGGGGGAGGCACCACAGAATCCCCTGAGAGCAGTAGCAGTGGCTTTCTTCCTGGTTCTTAAAACTTTCCTGACACTCCCAACTGCAATAAATAGGGCAATATTCATAACAGTGATTCTGACATACCCATCCTACTGCATTTGGCCAGTTGGCTTAGCTTTCCTCCTACAAATTTCTGGGTTTTCTTAGCACATCACATCAGTGCAGGGTAATGCTAATAGCTGCAGATGGCTGCATCTTACCTGCTTGGTGCACATTTTTATTTATTTTTTTTTTCAGGACACTGTATGTAGAGCTATAAGTTAGAAAAAAATCAAGCAATTAAAAATTCTTTATAGCCATCTATGTAAGAGACTTAAATATATCACCATAGATTTCCTTGTTTACAGTGCTGTCAAAGTAGTATGAACTGGGGAATCAGGAAGACCTGAAACCAAGAAGCTTTTCTGGGTTTTGTTTGAAGTGACTGGGGTTCTGAGGATTGCTGTGATACTATTTACATGTTTTTCCACAGTGTGTTAAAGCTGTCCTATGCTATATGCTTAAGCATTTTTTTGGTATGAAAGCTAACATTCAGATTATTTGTGCTACTTAAAATCTTCACTGCAAAAGGGAACATGGAGGCACCCTCCACAAAAGTAGTAGTATTTTTATAGAAAGGGGATAATGTTGCCAATACTACTTTACAGTAAAGTATAAGAAGCTTTATGTAATGTGAATTTTATACCTGGTCTGTAGTACTTGAAACAGATGAAATGCTGCTGTGAGGGGAAGTGCCCAGAGAACGGATTGCAGCTTCTGGCACTTCTAGAAAAGTGAAAGAACACCATGTGTAAGATTTCAAAGTTATGCTGTAAGAAATCTATCAGTTACAAGGACTTAGATCTAGGAAACACCTGACCTTTGGTATCACTCAGAAAAGCTATCTACTGCAAATGGTTGGGCCCTGTGTAAGTATCTGGGACATTTGCCTACTCAAAAGAGGAGCCTTGCTTATAAAGAGAGAAACAGTTCTGTTAATAACAGTTTGGTTAACTGCTTAGTTAATAGCCAGAGCTAGACTTAAAATGCAAGGGAAAAAACCCACCACCAATGTGAGTTAATGTAGCAATAGATAACGAAAATGCACACCATGAAAAAAAGCACTCAGTCCAGTGTGAGAAGTAGTCATATAGGTGAGGGAGCCAGGAAAACAAATTAGTGAAAAATTATCTGAGCTACTTTTAAGTCCAACTGAAACCTTAGGCAACTGAAAAGGGAAACAGAACTACTAGGAGAGATGATGAAGCCTAATTATAATTGTAATAATAAAGCAGAATAGGAAATAGCTATTAGGGCTGAAATAAAGATGTTGAGTTTAAGAAATTAGAAGAGAAATTGCTGAGTAGTGTTGCATATTGATGATATGATAGAAACATGGGAAATATGTATAGATAATTTTCTGGTAAAACGATCTTTGGCAAAGATAGTGTGTTTGCTGGAGGTACTTGTGTTCAGAGTTGGGTACAGATCAATATCATACTAGAGAAAATGACTGTAGAAAGTTGAGTGTTACTCTGTTAGTATGGGAGGTTTTACTTTCTGGTTTGTTTGGGTTTTTTTACTTATTGGGGAAAAAATGCTACTGAGATTGTTAGCTTTCACCTCTTATTGGATGTGATACTTTGCAGACTGCTTTATTAAATCTTCACTAATGCAATTCTGATTTAGATTTTGGTTTCAGAAAGCATTAAGAATGTTACAGAGGAGGTCATGCAGTGACTCAGAATTAAAAAGCAATTAATTGGACTAGATAGCTCAGACACCTGTGTGAAGCAGGTTTAGAACTTGTTCTGTTGTAAAGATGCAACTGCCTGGAAGCTGTATTCCAAGTACAGGGGAGACATTGTAAGGAGCAGTTTCAGCTCTCAGTGAAGGAATAATCACTTGAAGAAGGCCATTCAATGTGAAGAATTTTGGTTTTTCACTCAAATTCTGACTGATCAGCTGCAAAAGCTACAGTTGAAAGAATCACGTGAAGAATTTTGGTTTTTCACTCAAATTTTGACTGATCAGCTGCAAAAGCTACAGTTGAAAAGTATATTGTGGTAATAAAGTAAACATTGCCAAAAGTCAGGCTGAATTAGACTTTACAAAAGGAAACTAAAATAAGTAATACAAGATTCCTTAGCTTTGTAAAAAGGAAAGAGAAATGGGACTGTCTGCAGTAAAAAAATCTATTGATTTTAAACATAATCTAGGTACTAAATCAATAGTAGTTCTGGTACAGAAATGGGAATTTACAAAATCAAATTGGAAGCAAAACTCAAATAGCTTAGTACATTTAAACTGGTGGACCTAGATAATCTTTATCCCAGAAATCTAAAAACTGGCACACAAAACTAGAAGGGCTGGTAACAATTATTTGAAATAAATTTCAAGTCAGAGTGGTACCATATAATTAAAAATACCAAACATAATTGCTATACTTGAAGTGGAAAAGGTGAGCTGAGCAACTCTACGGTTAGAATTTAAAGGAATGAACATTAAGATTTGGAGGTAAAGATACAACTAGCAGGGAACATTTGAAATTCACCCAAATAGATAAAATGTTATAGTCAGTAGTGCATTTAATACTGTGCTATATGGGAAGTCAGTACTTTTTATGAAGATGAAAATTAGCACTAGGCTTGTATGGTGAAAAGGAAGGTTAGCTGAAGGGACATGAGTGAGAGGGACCAATTTCATCTGTGATTAGGTTGTTATTGGACCTAGTATAGAAGTGTGTTAAAGAAAGTTTACTAGTCATTTAGCACCAGATGATTTCAAAGAATAGTTACACTTTAGTATTTAGTAAGAATTTATCCTGCAAGTTGAAGCACATCAGTTGTGTGACAGGAGCAAACAATCTTGAAAGCATGAGTCTATTGCATGAATATGAACCATTATTACACTTCCACGGCATAGGAGATCTAATTGCAACATACATCCAGCAAATATTTCCAGGAAATAGAGACAAGTACTAACAACAGTATATGTCTTTAAGGTACACCACACACATTTCTATGTGCAATTCTTTATTCATTTCCAGTGTGAAAGATACATTCAGACTGAAATACGTGCAGAAAATGGCTGGTAGGAAGGTAGAAAGTGTCTGCTAATAAGAAACTAGAAAAATGTTATGTCTAATATACAGTTCTGTGTAAAGAGAGCTCCTATAAATATAATATCTTTTTTTTTTTTTGACTGTGAACTGAATTGAAGTCCCTCTTTGAAAGTACCACTTACAGAGAAGGTTTAGTGTTTGCCATTATAAAATACCTTCTTCACCCCCCTACAGAGAAAGAATAAATTGCTGGGTGCAATAATAATGTGTCTGGCTTCCAGGCAACTGAAGCCAGGAACAGCTCTGAAATGTCGTATTTAGGGCCCTTCTGTGGCGAGAAAGATTGATGATGATTTAATTTAAGATTTAATTATGATGGGAACTGACCCAAACTACCTTTGGTAGAAATTTCGAGTAGTAACAAATGGGAATGAAGCACCCAATTCCATTGCTTTATACAATAACCTTGACAGACATCCTTAATTTTACTAGCTGAGCTAAGCCCCTAGATACTTGATCTCCTCTTTGTATGCATTAGAGAGACAAGTGTTAATTCTAAACTAATGAATATACATGGCATTTTAAAATAATCTTAACTCAAATATTAATTAGAAATTACCATCACATTTTAATTAAAAATTTGAATGATACTTACTTGGCAGAACTGAGGACTTTTGGAGCAAAGGCCTGAAATAAATAAAGAGATTACAGAAAGGTCTAAGGAGATCTGTCCAGTTCTGAAAATATTAATATTATGTGTTTTGCTCATGCATTGGTAGTATGTGTTCCATCTCACACATTTGTTCATTAAGAAATAAGAGCTAGATACAGGTATATAAAAAAAATAAATAATGTCCTAGTAGTACTGACCATTAGGAACTTATACATCTGATTTAAATCTCCATCACCTAATTAGAGGTTCTATCCTCCCATGCTTCTTGGTGGTGCTTACAGTATTTGATGTGTGCATCCCAAATGCAGTGTTTTATTTTTCACTAATGTGAGGCTTCAAGAAACATGACTTTCAAGTTGCTTTCAAGAAAGCAAGAGACAGCCACAGAGAAGACAGTGCTCCCCTTTGAACCTCTCTCAGCTATGTTCAGACCAAGCATTAGGAGCTGGTACAATGAAATATTCAAAAGATCATGAGAAGGGGTTTTACTTTTGGGCACCACTTGGAAGGGGTGGAAGCGGAAGCTCTTGGCTGGAACCTCGTCGTCGTTCTGCTGCTGTAGGTTTTTCTGTAGTTTGGGAAAACAAATTGTGGAGTCAAGATCTCTTCAGAAATACATTGGCCCAGATAAGAGAGTCCCAGTAGCTGAAGGAGGGTTTCTGTTAGTAATACAACTTTTGAGGTTTTCCCTTAAGTAGCAGCCTGCCATCCAGCTGCTTTCTTTAGTGACTAGTGGCACACCACCAAATTTCTAAGCAAACAGCTGTGCTGTGAATGCCTGCAGGAGCTCAGCAGGAGCCGTGCTTTCCCAGAGGCAAGCAGTGGTGACGTGGGGCAGGAGCTGGGGCAGGAGCTGGGGCAGGGCAGGCTGTCTACGGGAGCTCAGCCAAAGGAGGTGTGGCTGGCTGGCTGCATCCTGCCCTAGTGTTCCACAGCAGCTCCAGCTGAGTTTTTTTCCTGGAGAAGCTGTTGCCTTGCACAGGGGAGAGAGGCGTTTTCTGCCTGTGTGAGGGACTGGCTCTTGCCAGGAGTTGGCTTCATCTGAGGTATGAGGTGGTTCTTGCTGTGTTCTTGCACTTATTTCGCCTCCCTTCCCCCTTCTTCACTTTGGGGACTGTAGGACACATTGCTGGTCCATGTTGTTCGTTACCCTGCCAGTAACCTCAATAGTTTTACAGTGACTGCTTTTAGAGAACAATGATATTCAGTGCAACTAAGGCTGGCCAGATCCAGTTTGAAACTGCTAAAACCAACACCCTCCCTCCCCAAAACCTAGAATAAATTGAATGTCTTAGTATTTGCTTCATGCTTTTAAGAAAAAGAAAATTAATTCTGATAAATGTCAACTTTTTCAAATTAGTGGAGATAGTTTACCTTCATTTGCAGTTAAGGTCTCTCTGGAAGGTAAGCATGGTTTCTGCAACAAAACAGAGGGAAACCGAATATTAGATGGCATGTATAGCAGTGTTTATCTTTTTAGTACTTTACCTTTAGAAGTGACAGCGTCCTGAAGGGATTGTGAAGAGCCTTTAGTTGTATGACCTTGGAGCTTAGAATTTTGCAAAGTAGATTTGGAAAAGATCCCAGTTTGTGTATAAATAGATGTTCAAAGGTAAAAATCTAGAGATGTATGCTTTTTTCCTTTAACTTCCATCAGTAAGTTTATGGTGTAAAAACCAGTTCATTCTTATCTCAAGTCCAAAAATAAGGAGTCCATCTCAAATACTTGCAAATAAAAATCTGAATATTTTCATCTTTGTCAAGCTATGCTCACAAATGTCTGAACACATTTCTTTTTACTGGAAGTTAAACTGTCAGTTCAGCTCACAGTAGAAATTCATCCAACCTTCCAGTTTCAATTTAAAAAAAAAAAATTATTCTGAAACAATGATAATAAGCTGTCAGTTTAAAAATATTTTTCAAATTAATTTATTGAAAGTTTCAACCAGTTCTCTTGCTTTCTCCCACAAGAGGTTTTGGATATTTTTCTAATGATGAAAACCTTACTGAAAAAATCCTGACTAATTCAACTTTCTTAAGCTATCATTCTTATAAGAAATGTGAGTTCCCCATATGCAGCCTGTTCTGAAGAGCCTGTGTTCCCATTTATTTCTCATTTAATGCAGTTCTTGAACTGTGTTTATTGTTACACCCTAGAGTATTGAATCCAAACATCTCTTTAATAAAAATATTTTTCTGCTTGAGCATTCTTACTGCTGCTTAGTTCATGTAACTGTACCCAAATATTTCCTCTCTTCTTAACTCCCTCTTTTCCCTGTTCTTTTTATGCATTTATGTTGTACCCAACCTCATAATAAAATTAAGTTTTACAATACATTAAAAATCACCTATAAAGTTATAATTTTATTATGCAAGTGCCATTCAACTTACCGGTGAATTTACTGCATTAGAAGTTTTCTTTCTGCAGATTGTAGGATAAAGAAAAAAAAGGGTATGGTTACTTAGCAGATACATGAATTCATTTAGCGACTAAGCATTAGGTTCACTGATTCCCAAGAGATACCTGGCCATCTCCTTACTGGATAGCTGTAGCAGTTAGTATCAGATGCAATGCACGTACTCAGGAAAGGTACTTATGATGTGCAACAAAGCTACCCTCTGTCGAACGCTTAAGGTGAAAACTTGGCTGGAGCAGAAGAGTTCTAATGGAAAACACATTTTTTTTTTGCATTTATAGGCATGCACATACTATTGCTGCAGCATGTGACTAAATTCAGCATGCCAGCCATCATCTGCTATCAGTGGCAGGCAGTGGCACTGGCAGCAAGCATTATGCCTCCAGAAATAACAAAATAACAACTTCCCTTTACCTAGTCATGATATCTTTCATGAACAGCAATAATTTTTTTTTCCTGAATTCTGATTGCCATGGCCAAGGATAGGAGTTACCTCCTAATACACCTAGTAAATTAGGCCTATCCCTATCCAAGACATTTTATTGTTTGTTACTCACAGGCCTCTTGGTAATGGAGATGGAGCTGCTCCAGTGGGAAATCTGGTTTCTTGTGTGTTACTGAAACTATGATCTAGAGATGAAAATGACATGTTTAGTATGCAATATTAGCTGTATCTGTACACAGAGTTTTCGTCACTGCCATTTCAGTATTAAAGTAAGACAATCCGTTGTTTTAATTTTTGTCTTGACATATTTTCACTCTGATTATATTAGAAAAAAGTTCATTAGTATTTCTTGCTTACTGCTGGCTGTCACAGGTAAGATTTACACTGACACTGACACTCACTACATGCTATATTAAGGTCACTAGTTGCATAATGACAACAGATGCCACTCGTATTGCTGTGTTTTCAGTACAGAATACTTACTTTCATCATTATTTGCCTCATGGTCCTGTAATGGAAAAATGCATTAGATTTGATGAGAATCAATTACAAAAGGAATTATTATTAAATGAGAGGTGCATAAATAAATAATCTGGTTTTGGTGATCTGTAGTAATGTTTAAAGAAATATTTGTGCAAAATGCTTATAATCTCCAGAATCCTTTCCACTGGCTTTTATTACAGCATTTGAAAAATTTTAGCAAACATCAATCTAATACTGAACATTCTAATAACCCTGTGATAGGGGTAGTATTGATAAAGTTGGCCCTGAATTTTACAGCAAGTTCATGTTTCATTTCTGAGCTGGCAAGTGGAAATTTTGCAGCAGATTTGAACATATTAAGGAAATATTTTCTACTGAATGGAGGATACTGAGTAGGTTCTTTCCCAGTTTCTTTCTTTCGGCTCCCACTTCATGTCTTTTCGGGAATCAGACTTTCATATGATAAATTCCTTTCAAAGAGGCACCAGTTACCAATTTATCCATTTCCATCCACCAATTTAATGACTTTTCGCTAATGTTGGTTACAAATGTATCTGTTCTCTGTTTGGAGAGGTGTGATGGATTACACCTCCAACAGTTTAGGGAGCAAGACGTGAAAATTTTTCTCCTAGTTAGCCTAGGCCTTTGAAAGGATCAAGGCTTACAATTCTGCTAACATGCTCAGTTCTGGTTAGTGGTGAGAACGGACTGAATGGGAACAGCTAACATGTTTCAGTTATTGTTTTACTATGTTAGTGTACACAGTCAGGGATGGAAGGGCACAGCACAGCACTGGACAAACATGATGCTCATTACCATGTTTTTCATTAAAACTATAAGGGCTGGTCACTCACACAAGTCAAGACCCAAAAGTTACACTGGATAATTCTTTCTTAGGCACACTCTTGTGCCAAACTGGGTAACTGTAAGTACCCAAGACATTAATACTCCCATGGTACAGATGAGTGTTTGGGAGCTCCTTTGGACTGACATATGCCCCTTAAATATTGCAAGTTTTCTTTTGGATCAGTACACATGTTCAGTGTACCTCTTTTGTCCAAAAGATTAATAGCTACAATCACAATATTAGGTCAATCTGACATTCAGAGTAATCTGTATCTGTTATTTAATCCAGATAATAAAAAACATCCATCCATCTCCATGTATATATAAAGAACACAGAACAGCTTAAATTTACCACATTCTTTTATAGTAGAACATTAATTACTCACTGCTTTTGGATGAAGACGATTTCTGGGAAGAGGCAGAATATTTCTGGAAAATATACACAATAAGTTCATATGAATAGGATTTACTTACTTAATTGCTTTGCTCAGATATGCATTTCAAGATCTAGAGAGGAGGAGGTCAGCAGCAAATGGATTTAATTGCAGCTATGCACTGCTCCAATGGCTGTGGTAATGCTGTGCCCTAAGTGTGGAGGAGTTCTGTTCTAGTAGAACTTCTGTCTTGGACCTCGAGTCCCCACAGTTGTACAAAGGACCTCTCCAAATATCCCAACACACAATGTTGTGGATTCCACCTGTTCTTTCTGGGACAAGTGGCATATTTTGTAGAGCAACTGTCCTAGAGAAGGGATGGTGGCTACAAATCAGCTTCCCACACTTCTAGGAATACAGAAGTGAAATAGGCTGCATTCTCAAGTTTCCTTTGCTTCTTTTCCTCCAGAGACTGGGAATATAAATAATTATTTACTGTGTCCAACTTCTTTACAAGCAATCCTGTGCCCCATCCCCTGCGAAAATACCTCATTTGTGAGACTGCAAAGATAGGTAATACTATTTTAAACTGGCTTTCAGAGAGATGTTTTACCCTTGCACTGGATCCCTAGAGGGAAATTCAAGAAAATATTACCCATTTAGCAAACTGGCTTGAATAAAGGGATTCACAAGAAAATGAGAACTTTCAATTTTTACTTTGTTCCACAATCCCTAAGCTATTTGTGTGTCCGGACAATTGCTTATTGGCTGAGGGCTAAACTATATAGAGGAGAAAAAATTCTCTTTACTAGTATTTGTTGTTGATATAAGCTGCTGTTGACCTACCTGGAGCTATCTAGCTTAGGTGATTCTCTAGTCATGCTGTGCTTGTGGGGGTGCTCTGTGTTCTGGGAAGGTGTAGACAGAAGTGGCTTAGTGAACCTAGTAATAAAACATGAATTAAGAAAGGAATGTTTTATTTAGCAATAGTGAATAAAAAGGCAATGTCTTTTTCTCTTCCTCTCCCCCCTCAAAATTATTAAAAAAAACCCCAACACCTTAAGAGGTATTTCTTTTTAATATGTGTTATGTTTGAATTATCAAAAGTAACATAGAATGGGATGGCAGTTTTTGTGCAGATAATATATATAGAGAGAATTAATATAGTTATATTTTCTAGAGAAAGAATTACTAAACATATAGTATGTAGATGAAAGAATATTTTCTGGCAAGTTTTAAATAAAACACACAGATTCATAGCAATTATTATTACCTGGTTACCAGTGGTGGTGTTGGTTTTTCCTGTAAGAGAAAGTGCTCTGAATTATTTAGTTGCATTTTGATTTAATGAAATATACTTGTATGATCCTATTTATATTATCCCAGCAATATCTTATATTTTTATATAGATTCCTAGTAGAACTCTGCTCAATAATCTGTACTGTGATGGGAGAGGCAAGAAGTCACTACCAGTAAATCTGTGAAGCCCTGAGCACACTGCTTTGGCTGTATGTCATGTCAGTACCAGCAAGTGGGAAGAAAATTACTGTCAGAACTGTCTCTGCTCCTTTGCTGCAGTTCTCCTTCTAGAAAGCATTCCCTTAGGCTGTTGCTTCCCAGACTGGATCACTATCACACAGGACTGGGAAACTTCAGCTTCTTCCCATGTACTCTGTTCTGCAGGCCTTTTGAATTGATTTGCCAGCTTTTGTGCAAAGTAAGTGTCAGAAAGCCTTAAGTGCAGACAGAGATTTGTACCTATTTTTTCCCCTTTGAAGGACTCATCATCTTATCTTAAAATCACCCATGTTCTCTGCCTGAGGGCAATGTCAGTCAAACTTTAGAAAGGCCTTACCTCTTCTTCAGGAACTTCATAGACTTCTGTAGGACAGGGAGGAAAAAAAAATAATTATTTTGTTAGCAAAAGCACACTACATGTTACCCAAAAACATAATCAGAATTATCAATTGTCCTTTTGCCTCTTGCATAATAACTGAGAAGTTTCTCAGAGCTTGATTCTGTCTCCAAAACCCTGGGGTAGCTACATCCCTTGTCTAGTGAGAACTTCAGGAAAAATCCCAGGAAGTAGTTGTATTAATAAGCAAGAGGCTTTTTTCTTTTTTAATTACACACACACATTTCCCCCCCCGCCCCCGAATACAAGATGAATTCTTGTATTGTGCAAACCTGGGACAGTTTAGAAAAGTGTTATCACACCTGTGATCAGGTAAATCGTAAATATAAGCTGGCTCATTTGAGTGGCCAGTGTCCTTCGTTGAGCTCTGTTCCATAGGTGTATTTCAATTGACAAATACTAAAAGCCAAAACCATCACCATCCTTATCTATGATCAGTTTCTTCAAGGAAAATTGAATTATATTTCAACAAATTTATTGACAGTCTTCATTGCTTTTATTGTGCTGAAAAATGTCCAAGTTCCCACCAGAGGGAGATGTTTTATTTTTTTAGTAACATCTGTCAGGAGCTGGTTGTTGCTTGACGCTGATTTACAGAAAGAGTAAGATCGAGAATGGCATTTTAAAATGTCTGAAAAGTAACTCACAAAAATCTAAAGTAATCCAGAAAAAAAACTTCAATAGTTTACGACTTGAAAGTTAAACACATTGCTAATGAAATACAAAGACTTTTAAAGAACTGTGAGATCAGTCTGTAAATGTTACATTACATGCAATTTATGACAAAGATGCAAAACAACTCAACACAGCTAAGCAAGATTAAGCAAGTACATCTGCACTTACAAAAGTAAATACAATTCTTATTTGCTTCTGCTTTTTGTGTCTTTTTCCAAATAAATTGCTCTTTATAGAGCTTAAACAGGAACCCTGTTACCACAGGAGATGCAAAACTATATGGAATTTCTATATGGAATTTCTTTAAGGTTGAACCTTGAAGTGGTTTTAAAGTATTGAGTCTTGATTTCTGTAGTGAAATGTGATTACTAACATAGCAAATCTTATAATTGTTCCTGCTCTGCTGATCTTTTTTCTCTGTTAGTCCAAAAGTCTAAACTGGTTTGGGGCAAATTACTTATTCTTGATTTATTCGTGCTTAAAACAGATTTACTATTCAAGTTAGGCAAAACAGCTGTTAACAACACAGAAAAACCTAAAGGGGAAAATATTTTTGTTTTACTGAAGTATGCCATATGTTTTGTGTTGTGAATACATCAAGTGTAATTTAATATTCCTCAATCTTAGATTATTTTATTTCAAAAGTGATACGAACTCTACATACCTTGCATATCAGAAGTAAGAGAAGGTTTTGGAGAAGGATGGGGGGCTGACTTCTTCATAAATCTGTTCACAGGAGCTAAAAATGTATTTTATTCATAGATACTTGCGCGTATGTGTACATGTATTTTTATATATAACATACATGTATATATATAAATATATGTATTAAAAACAACAATGCAACCTATACACAGTAAGAATAAATATTAAGTAGGTTCAAGTGACAGCCGTTTTGGCTGACCTTAAACTAATCAACTGAAGCAGAAAGCAGCTCTCATTTTAAAAGGGAAACATTCAGTGTTCATGCCTTGCTGAATAGGTTTGATACTGTCGGTAATAGAGAGCAAAACTACATACTGTTCTCTGTTTACTTTTCACCTTTGGACTATGATAATTTCACTCTCCAGCTAAATATACTTCAAATACTGAGGTAAAAAAAATAAATCAGTCTGTATTTATTCACTGAAAATCTAAAAAGGCTTGTTCTACTCCTGAGGCACTTCAACAAACAGAGAATTTTAATGCTGTGGCTCCCTTGGATGGTAAAGGAGACCACATAGGAGTAAAAGCTTCCTGGTTTTATAAAGGCTGGATTTTGAAACAGTTGAGAGAGGGGCAGGAACTAAACATGGCTTCTAATACAGAAAAAATAATTTTCTGCAGCCTTGTCATGAACCAAAGGAGCCAATTGCCTTTTTGCAGGCTGCATTCTCTGTAATAGCTACCCCTCCACTCTTTGAACCCTAGAAACAGACATTATTTTAATCAATTTTTTTTCTATTGTTGTACCTAACAAGGCAATAAATATTAGCTTAAATGACAAACTCACATCTTGTAGGTAGTGACATGCTGCTTTCTGTGGGTTCAATATAGTTATCGTCATCATTGTCCACTGGCACAATGTAATTATCCTGTGAGAAATGCAGGACAAAAATCTACCAGTTAAAACTCCATAATAACAACAAACTTTAGGTACTGAAGCTCTGGCAGCAGTTTATTGTATTTATTATTATCATCATCATCATTATTATTATTATTACTACTACTATTATTATTATTATCATCATCATAATCATCATTATCATTATATTGTAGTTGTTATTTCACAGTGACTGCTATTTCAGACATTAATCAGCCTGCGGATGGGATTCTCCAAGATTGAAAACCCTTTACCAAATGACTTAATTTCTGGACGGGAGGGTAAAAAGCCCTCCTTTCCCTTTGGTCTTCAGGTACCCTTTAAAATGGCTGTCTCCTCATTGCCTACACCTGATTACAGATGAGCAGAAACTATTCTGTGGTCTAAAGAGCCTCCTTGACACTTGAAGTAGGCAAATATCTGCTAGGAACCTGCATGATACTTGCACATCACTGCATGTGATGTACAAAACTATTTGTGCCATAGGGGCTAAGAATGAGAAAAAGCTATGGCATTGCTCTGTAGTCTCTCTTATAATTAGTTTAGGGTCATCAGTCATTTAAACTGTCAAAACAAGCGTGTCTATAAACATTACCTCATCATCACTACACTCCTTTGGCTTTGGTGGTACTTTAGGTTTTGCAGCAGGAGATGGCAAAGGCAGGGATGGTTTCTTTGGTCTTGATGTGGCTGGACTGGGTGTACTTGGGAGAGGTTTGCTCATGGGAGGAAGCTGCTGGTGATTGGTGCGATTGTCTTGAAATATGGAAGAAAGCAACAGTTTTAGTACAAATGACACATTAACCTCTGGGCCACCTTCTACTGACTGTGCAAACAAGTCTTTACCGTGGCTGCAGCTCAGGTGAAAAGGCAAACCTGAGTGTATGCTGGTCCTGATGTTGAGACATGTGTACAAACTGGTCCTATTTCATCACTTAATGTAGCAACTTCGTCCTCTGTGTCAAGCTGCAGAGGGTGCTTGAACACTGACTGTTGAATGAACAACTGTTTAACTCCTTGGGGGAAAGGTAGTGGCTGGTGGTATAGTCCATTACATAGTATGTCCTGTGCCAGTATGAACTTGATGATAAGGAAGTGAGAAAGAATGTATCTGACATATGAGAGAAACAGCTGTTACAGTACGAAGGGCAGGACTAAACAAATTATGCCAGGTCCTCTGGGATACCACTAAAAAAATTCTTCCCCTTTTCAAAGAACACATTGAAGTGCTGATGAACTTCTATGAGTATATATGTGGCATTTTAGCACTTTGATGATTATTCTATAACCAGTAACAGTCTTGTATCATACAAAAATGAAAGTAGGCATCATGCCAACGTTTCTTTTCTCTGTGGTCCAAATATTCCTCAAACTTAAGCTAACTTTAATTAACTTCAGTACAATCTGCCCAAAGTTTAGAAGAATCAAAACAGGAAGAAAATATGCCTTTATGCTGAACTGTTGTAAATAAAATATTGATCTTTTCCTGTTTTGCAGGATATTTAATCTCCTCAGTACAAATCTTGACAGACAGTATGGAGTGTATATTTGTGCTGTTTTGTCCTGTTTTATTGCTTTTGGAATAATGATTTGAGATACAGAGACAATTAAGAAGGGACCTGTGTAGTCTTATGTGCTTAATCTTAGATAAGAATTCCTGCATTAAATTATGCAGATGAATCTGGAGTTAGCAATATCTCCCATACCTTTGCTTGAATTTTGTAGGTAGTAGATGTCTATCAAAGTCTCTAAGACACATTATATTAAAATTCTAAACATTGCTAGCAGCAATACTAACCTGCTTCATGCTGTAACAACAAATCATATTCCTGAAAGCTAAAGACCCGATTGTCAGCATTAAATGCAAACACTTAAGGTTAGTCCATTTGAGACCACTTCTCTTTTATTACTGATAAATAAGCAATTATCAAGCTGACATATCCAATTAGTCCATAGCTACCTGCATATTCACCCCTAGAAATGGGGAATGAGGAAGCAATCTTCTTTTTCTCCTGCTCACTTGGAGGCGGCTCATAGCTGTCATCAGGATTCTCTTCGCTGGGGACAACATACATCTCAGAGTCAGAGTGGTCATCTGGATTTTCATAATCACTGTCCTAGAAAGACAGAACTTACCATTTCTCATCTCATAACATACATATGGCTTCATAGCAGTGTACAACACAAACATCCTTGCAGGAGTACAATCAGCTAAATTAAAAGAATGCATCATTAAAAGGACATGTTACACTCCCTTTCAGTGCTCCCTCTCTAAAAAAAACCAAAAAACACACAACACAAAAAAACCCCAAAAAAACCCCAAAAAGGCACTCCAGCCTTCCCTTCTTGTCCTCCCAAAAGCTTTGTACTCCTTGTCTCCTTGCTGTCTCCACAGCATCTTTTCACACCACAGTCTCCAAATTACGGACCAACAGCTTGTTTTCCTTTATAGGACACTTCATTCCTAGTTCCAGATTTTACTCCTGATGTGTCCTGTCTTTTCCTCTGCATTTCCTATTAAAAGGGCTAAGTCCAAAAGGTAAATCGTCACTTCAGGCTGATGGTTGTACACTGTCACAATTACTTTACATGGCTGATGACCATGACTTGCATAATTCTAATGTTCTCTAAAATCTTCTGAGAAATTTTTCATCTTTAGGAAGAAGTGGCTTTCCCCTCTTCAACCCTCCCACCCTTCCTCCCCCAGCCAGAAGATCTTATGGTTTTGAAATTACTGTTCAGTTTGAGAAGTCCCTCAAACTGATGCCACGCACTTATCCAAAAAGCTTAGTATCCATGGCTGCCACTGACAGTGCTTCTGAGTCTACTTCAAATTTGAATGTAAAAAACCTAGGGTAGCTAAAAATCAGCTTGTAAATATTGCTGATGTAACAACTAAGATGACATTTTAGTAGTAAAAACTTCAACCACAAGTAGATGATTAAAAAATAAACTTTTGTTGCTTGTGTTGAACTTGTTGCTACAGTAACCTCCTACTACCCCAAAATATATACTTACAAAATCATCTGACCATTGTTCCTCTTCATTGTCTGCATGTTCTAAACCAAACATTAGAGTTATTTAAGGAGATGGAATAGTAAACATTTTTAAGGATAGATTGATAAATACATATACTATATATATCGTACAGTCTATTTTCAGTTAAAAAAAAAAAAAAAAAAGAGCTCAAAGTTTCCCAAAAAAATTCAGAGCAACATATCTGGTTTGGACTGAATAGTAAATGAAATTCCTGCTTGCTTTTTTTTTGATAAATTGTTTCAGATCTGTTGGACAAGCATTAGAAAACAGCAAACTGCACATGGTCTGAACAGCAGCACATGCACTTTATGCAGTGTCCTGCTAATGCATCTAATTTTTAAGTAGGAGTAACAATTTTTACATAATGTATCTATCAATGACTTCTGGGCCCTGAACTTTCTTGTTTCTCTGTTAAAGCTCCAAGCCAGCACACTAATTACAAGTGTTTATGTTAAACATGGAAGAACTCTCTGATAACTTCCTCTTTGCTTCAATTATCATGTTGCTGTTTCCTTAACATCCTACATACAGAACCTTGGTAAATACTGTGTAAATACTGAGTTTGAAAGAGCAGTTACTTGCTACTCTTTCTTCACACTGGGACAACTTGCCATGTTTTTCTTCCCTCTCATTGCAGAGGTGTGAACTACCTAAAACAAATTATGTGGAAATATATAGCTGAAATAGGCGTACAGATATCAAATACACACAGACATGCAGTTTAACTTTACATTAATATAGCCTTACCTGAAGCATAATCCCTTTGTGGTACACTTGGTGGAGGTTTTTTTTTCAGCCTGTAAGCAATAATTATTATGCTTTTGTAAGTAACACTCACTAGAAGGGAGCATTAGCCAGACACATTAAAAAGCTGATAACAAAAGATACCTACAGCTGAAGAAATACAGATTACCATCACACATGCTTAGCAAATAGCTGCAGGAGAATGCTTTGAAAAGCTAGAAACAGATAAGAAATAGAAACTAATTTGAGATTATTTTTTTTTTTTGCTAAGAACATATTTTGAAAGAATAGCTTTGATACACACCCACCCTCCTCTTCATTTTGATGCAGAAACAGATAATGTAGGGATCAGAGATGCATATCTACCTGAAGATGAAAATCTGTTCAGGCTCACAGAAACTTTGCTAAGGCTATGGCATAGGAAGTGGTGCAACACACTCCAATTCTATTTTTATAGCTATATTTTTGTATGTGCTTTATTTTCCGATTAACTTTTACATGTACACTAGGTGTCTCAGGGCCAGACTCTGTTTCCACTTATTATGTTAGGGTGTTATGCCCCTTTTCTGGTAAATACTGTTAAAATGACATTTATAATACCAAGTGAATCAAAAGATAATTTATATAAATACTGAAAAAATCTTTGGGGCTATACATATATGTATGTATATGTATGTGCATGTATGGATATATTTAGCAAACAGAAGTATACATATGTGTATACACACATATACTTCTGTTCATATATATGTGTATAGATATTTATACACCTTTTTGCTAAATTGCAGCTGTCCAGTGAAGACACTGTATTACAGACAGTTGACATATCAGTTATTTCATTACTCAGTAAAAAAAGAGAAGAATTTGGGTTTGAAATAAAAATTGAGTGGTGCATGTGTGACATCAGAGGCCAGACTGATGGATCTGAAGAGAAAAAAACACCTTTGCTTTTTGTAGCTATATAAACATAAAACCAATTTACATTAAAATGACTCGTTGAAGTGACTGCTTTACCTCAAGAATTCAGACACTGGTATTTAGGTAGTGAGCATGCTGCTTAGCTGTAATTATATCAGTGTAAAACAGGGTAGGGGCAATGCTGGCACTAACCCACCAATTTGCAGAATTTTTCTGTCTGTGTTGAGAAATGCTTTGGCTACTTTTGAGTTGAATTACTGGAATTCTGGTGTTCAGATAGTCACAAAAAAACCCCCAACAACAACAAGCAAGCACATGCATGAATCAATAAATAAATGCTGCAGGCATTACTGAGGCTCCAAGAAAAACCCCAAACCCACCCAATAAACCAAACCAAAATCAATCTAGGCACGTTATTTTGAAGTGTTTACTTGCTTTGTTCATTACTAACAACACTAATGAGGACAGCTGCCTCCTCTAAGTCTTTAATTTCCTGCAGCACAATACAACTTTGTGTACAAACATTAAACTATAAAGCATTTTCAACAGCTCTGCTGTTGTCTTCTGTCTGGGTTAGAACAGGTATATTAGAAAGAAAAACCTAGGGCCACTGCCAGGGCAGACCTCAGGTCTTAGGGAGGATAAACCAAAATCTGTTAATGTCCTTTGCAACATGTCTATGCTGAGTTGTTCAGAGGAGGTGGATACTTGGAAAACAGTGGATCTGAAGCAATAGCAAGAGGCTGTCCAGGTCACAGTGTAAAGTATGTGGCTTAAGCTGCATTCTACATTTCAAGCTGCTAAGCCAAAGACTTCAACACTTTGTCCCAGGCCTTTTGAATCCTGGCAGTGGCCCCAATAGAAAATGTAAATATGTTATAAAAAAGCATACGAAGCACGGAACAGAGGTCTGTGTCTAAGCAGCCTATCGTGCCATTGTGCAGCTCTGAAATAGCATACCGATCCCAAGTATCTTTCCCAGTTTTGCAAATTAAGGCCACTTGTTCATTTTGGAACCTGAATATCAATAGAAGAAAAGAAATAATGTTTCTGTCACATAGCTGAAACAGTTCATGGCCACATCTGCATTTACTAAGATTTCTTACAATATATTATTTATTCTAAAATTCACATCCACTTAAAAAAAACTTCTCACTGTACTGGTATGGTTTACTGAGTGCCAGAACTGAAATCCAAGATCTTTTGAAGTCAATTGGAGGTTTGCTTTGGAAGAGCCGAAACTTCACTCAATGTGCGAACCACAGTGCAAACTCAAAAGACCACCCCTATGCCAAGGAGTGGCTACCTAGCTATTTCAGATTCTGATGTAATTATCCTCATAAATGCTCAAAGAGTCACAATTGACTTCAGTCTGTTTCCCTGAAGTTAGTGAGAAAGGACTGAAAGACTCAAATGCCATCCAACTGAGCATACATATTTCAATAGAAAACAATTATTTCCTAACACATTTAAACAGAGTTGTATAAAGTTATAGCAAATGCAATTTCTAAGTAAAATATTCTAGTAAAATATTCTAGTATTCTACTCTGTTCTGGACTTTTGTTACAGCTGGTGAAGTATCTCTGGTTTAGCTGTGATAGAACACAAATAATTCAAGTTGCCATTTACTTTAGTTGAATGAATAACTTTCTAAAATTTAATAGAAAACAAGTAATATTCTGCAGATTTAGAAAAAACCCTGAGAAATTTCAGTTCTAAAGAACTCAATAAAATCCAAGTACATTTTTGAGAGTATGTTTAGGGGTTTTAAAAGCAACACATCTCACTATATACATTTCAGCTTCAACAAATAACCAGGTAGCATTTGACACATTTCATGCAATGGGGTCTAGATGCTGTTCACACAAGAACAGAATGCAACGTACAGCAATTCACAATAACTTTTGGGAGAATTAACTATTGCATTTTAAAAACCAATGTATTCTGAGATTTCCTCTCTACATCATGCTGAGGGTGAGCAAAAGCATTTAGGCATGTGCTTAACTTCTCACATAGAAGAGTTCTGTTGGAACTGCAAATATTAAAATCACATGCTTTGAGTTAATATTACATTTTGTTTTTCCTGCACCAAATGGAGATGATTTTAAATAAACTGCAGCAGAGGTCTGGCCTTTCTGCTCTAGCAACACTTACTTTTGCAGGCTACACCCAGAAAAGTAACCAAATGTAAGCAGTAGTAGCCCTTTACCTGTAGCACTTAATTCCCCTCCAGATGCACTTCCTCACTAGTGTTTCTGCTCACTCTCCCATCGTTCAAGAGATGCCTAAAAACTCCCTGTTTTCACAAGCGTTTAAGTTTTTCTGATGTTAATTCTGTACAAAATCCACTCCCTTTTTAGGAACCATTTTAACTTAATAGGCTTTAAAAAAATTATATTGACATCTTTACTGATTTGAATATTTATAGTATGTATTAGTTGTAAGTGCACTAGATCATTACAATTATGATTAAAAGATAAATTAATTGAACTTTGCTGAAAACCTTTTCAGAGTTCCAAATAGGTGCAATACAGCAGACAGATAAACTTTTCCTGAGCTGTATTCTCATGACCTAGTGCAATGGTTTGTTATAGCTTTGGAAGTTTCTGGCGATTGCACAAAGAATTAATCTGAAATTTTCTTAAAGTGTTATTTCTACTCTTTTGTACATTTTCTTTACAATGTGCTGTGGCAGTGAAATGGCATACAGTTGTGATTTATTAATGTTTACTTTGATGAAATATCATTTTATCAGTAAAAACTTCTATTGAGCTGCATGTTGAAATTAATGTTTCTTCAGAATACAGTTAAAATTAGGTATTATACTTCTTCCTGGTTTCTCTTTGTAAGTGTCGTATAGCTTGATTTCAGTACTTTTCTTTCACTGTTTAGTCCATAAAATAGCACTTTTGCCTCTGCCAATAGTTTTATCATGGTGTCATCTAGCTGCAGCTATGGAGGTTGACATTTAGTGACACGACTCCATTTTTCTGCCTGAAGTTAAGGTCTAAGTGTAAATGGTATAGGAAAATGGACCAGACAAATGTGAAGTAAAAACTCATTCAGCTGAACAGCTGGGTAAAGCAAATGAAGAGATCTATTTTCTTTCAGTGTTTCAGGTCACGTGGCAAATGTGATTTCAAGAAATACATAAACTTGGATTGTGTGCAGTTAGACAAATAACTAGAAGTGCATGATTTCTGATGACATTGCAAAGGAAGTTTTGATAGGATGTGATATTGCAACAATGTGAGTGACCTGAACTTATGGTTTCTTATTCAACACAGTAGGTCAGCATGTACAAAAATGTTGGGGTGAAGTCCTGACTTTGCTGAACATGCAGTATGACTTTTAGCATCAAATCCAAGGGAATTAGAATTCCACTGAACAAACCGTAGAGGCTTAAAGCTTATGATTTACAGATGAGAGCTATGTCTTTGCAGTGTATTTCAAGCACAGATGGTCATCCTGTAGAGAAACCTATGAGTTCTCTCTTAAGTCCCTGTCCTGTAGTACCAAGGATGTGAATATGAAAAAATGCCCCCAGCTCTCATTGTTTGTACAACTTTGGCTATGCCTATTGCTTCTACACCTGAGTACATAATCATCTTTGATATCAGGATCTGCACAGCAGCTGGGACTGTTCATGTGATTAAGGGCAAGGAGGTGAAGGGTAGCTTGCAGTGGGCAGTATTTTTGCTGTTAGAAAATTTTGACTCAGAACAGCAAATGAATACCAGGAACTTTTAAGGAATGAAGAAACAATCTGTAGTTTTCTTTCCTGTTATAACCACTTCAAACCGCTTTCAACAGACCTTTAAAATACACATATGGTAGACACCCCTCTACACCTGCACCCTTGAGAACAACACACTTGATGCAAGAACTTATCTTACTTTTCTACATAATCAAGAACCAATCCAGATTTTAGAAGTGACTTAACAATTACTGGTAGTAAATCAAACATATTTCATAGGTATTTGATCATTCTTTCAATTTCAGTAGCAGGGACTTACAGTACATGTGTGACAACTTTAGGCTTGGGATAAGCAAGTACACTATTTGACTTTACTAACATTTTTTCTACTTACAATAGGTTTGAATTTGAGTCAAAACAACATTTTTTTCCCAGCATCTAGACAAGTTCCAAATCTGTGCTACATAAAGCCAATTTGTATATTTTTTTTTTCCTGCTTCAGTCATGTTTAGATCCTCAACATTTAATAAAAGAATCCTATAACTGATAGGGAGGAAGTGATCAACTGGATAACAGCTTTTTAAAGAAAAATCATCTGCTGAAACTAAACAAAAAGCCCCTAAAGCGCACATTGAGAGAAATGCAGCCAGCTCTAATTCTGCAAAGCTTGGCATCTCTTGAACATATTGTTATCAGTTTTGTCAACTCATGCTTTTATTGCAAGTCTGATTATGTGCTAGGTTCAAGATATGAATTCTGAAGTTGTGCACAAATATAACAATTTTTTTCTTCAGTTTTAAAGAAATCAGTTTCTGATCTTCATTAATTGTAGAATAGATTAACATGACTCAGATGAGCCATAGAAGTATCAGAAAGATTGTTTTTACATCTCAATTTGTATTCCTACAGCTGGAGGAGATGAAAGGTGAGCTTTCTGCTGCTATTGTACATTAAGAGAGTTTTTATGAGCCTGCTTTTTAAATATTTTAATTTTTATTTTTATTTTTATTTTTAAATCTTGAGAGAATCAAAGGATAGCAGTGTTGTAGCAGCAATCTTGTATCTGACATTTAACAATGGCACCTCTGACCTTCCCAGCTTCAGCTACATTTAATTCTTGTTATTTTTCCCTGGTCTGTCCTTCTCTTACTCTCAAGGAAGGACACACAGTCAGAGTAATACTAATTAACAGCAGAATTCATGTTCAGGCAACTACAAAAGATAATTTCTTGCCTCAAATTATAAACTGGAGATGCTGCTACTGTTTCTACCATCTGCTGTCCTCTATGAGGCACTTGAACTGGATGTGCAGCAACATTATTAACCTTAACTACATTTAAACTACTACTGTCAAGTAGGAAGCCACCCTTTATTAAAAGGCAACAACAAAACCAACCCAATCCTCCTTGTTTACAAAATCCCACCAAAAGCCTTGACAACCTAGAAGCTTTTCCCTGTGAACAGGTTCCAGATGAAACCAAGTTTTTTGCAGATGGATCTCTGAACGCAGTTGTCTATTTATATACTTACTGTGTTAAAATCAAAAGCACCCTTAGATGAAACTAAAGAACCAAGTAGTTGAAAGTGGGTCATTTTAAGGAAAAATTTATTTTTGTGTTTGTGTGGAAATAAGTACATATACCATGTGAATGTGATTTACTGCAAATTACAGCACCACTAGAGTGAAACAGGATGAGTAAAGAAAAAACATGATCTATTATGTGTAAACATCAGAACCTGCTCAAAGTTTGTGGAGAGAAACACAGCTGTCATCAAGAGGCCACAAAGAAGGGTTTGCAACCTCAGGTTGCTCCTCCTGCCTGGTGAACAGTAGAGCTGCTGCTACTAGAGGTGTATCCCCCCCACCTCTGCCAGGGAGGGCAGCTGCCCCATGAACACCAGCCCCACCTGGGCTGGCAGCAGGGGCAGTAGCTGTAGGCAGCCCAGCTTTCTGGAGGTCTTGTATAACCAAACCAGGCAGAGCTCTATTGCTTCTTCCACCAGCCTACTGACTGCTTCCTATGCACCTACAATTAGCTCTTGTTAAAATGATACTTGTTTTTTTCCTTGATCTGAGCCATCATGATTGCTCTTTAGGAACAATTTTAAACAATGTTTATATGTGCCTTTTATGTATGAGAGCTTTATTTCTAGAATTGAATATGGCTGTCCTGGAAACACTGCAGATACTGTGTCCTAATTAGCTGCTACAGGTAGTCAGTACTTTTGTTGTCAATGACCCATGTAAAGAAAGACATCTGAATGAGAAAATTGATCCAAATGGAAGTTCAATGCAAATGAACTATTGCATTAAGAAAAAGAAAAAAATGTTCTAAATACCTAATTGGTTTAAATAGATGTTTGACTGGAAACAGTGAATGGTATATGCATTTGACAAGGATGCAGAATTACTAGAATGTTTATGTATAAATAAACATGAATATTTTATGATATTCATATACACATGACATCAATACGCATGCTGTATAGCACTTCTTACTGGAATAAGGATGTTAGGTAATACTGGGCTTTGTTTTATGGGTCTGAAACACAGGAGAGCTTAGCATTTTAATAGGAATTCTAACTATAATGTCTGACCAGTTGGTTCAAGGTGGAGCTCAAATGAAAACTTAATTGCAGCAGGTAGCATTAGACAGTGGCCTGAGGAGAAAGGCACATGCCCAAACAAGCAGTGGTGATCATTCCCAAGAATACACAAGAAAAGTCCATTTTACCAAATACTACTTTTAGGGCTGCAAACACAACCTCCTGTTGAAGGCCAGTTCTGCAGCTACTTTATGAAACTCTTAATACCGATGACAATTCTGCACGCTGCAGTCTGGACTGGAGCTCTTCACGTGCACTGAAGTACATCCCTCTAGAATAACATGGTCCCACCACTAAAGCACTGTATGCTGTACTAGCAATCTGAAGTTCCCCAAACTGATAAAACTAACATTAGCATTTCAAACTTACTTTTTGAACTTGTTTATTATCCCGCTTTCATTCTTCTTGATGTCATGTACCATCTTTTGAAGCTTCCTGTAAGATATTAAACAAAGCCAACATTAAAATTATGTGGCAATTTGTTGTTTATACCCATTTATATCAATTAAGAAAAAAATATAGAAAATGCTTTTCCACTAATATTTCACAGATCAAAAATGCTTAATGTATATCCAGTAAGTAGTTTAGTTGCTAAATCATTTGTGTATGCAGTTTCCCTCCATTTTTAAGAGAGTTCTCTGGCATGATTTGTATTATCCTTCTCCTTAATAGAATGAAGTGCAATTTAAACAATCAATTTAAGAATAAGTGCATCACAAAAGAGCATAATTGCCTACATTAATAGTTTAGAGTATTTAGATGTTAACATTTTTTTTTCAGGACGGACTCTACAACACTCCACAGCTATAATGGGTTTGCCCTCTGATTTCTGAAAATACATAATTTTATCTGTGGACAGTTTATCTCATTACCATAGTGTTTGCAATTATAATAGGAAGAGGAAAAATTATACCATTCTATATGCTGAGAGGGACCTTGCTACACCTGCTAATGATTTTAGAGCAATTACAGTATGTAGTGAAAATTAATATCATTTTATGAGTCTTGCTTAAAAAGGACAGTTAAATAATTGACTACTTGTCAGCTTTTGGAATACTGAAATAAATAACAAAGCCTACTTTTAGTCTTAACAGTACTTATTAACAGAACAGAAAATCTTATTCTCTCATTACATCATCTGGAATTGAAGGACAGTTCAGATTTCCAGCAGCCCTGTAATACAACAACATGAAGTATCCTGTTCTGACAAGATAGATCATGGGTATGATACCTGAAGAGTATTCCTAGAGCCTAAATCTTTGCCCATTTTTACTTAAAAAATATTCAACCTGTGTTTTTTAGGTTCTCAACTCAGCAAAAAAGAGAATGACAAATAATTCACAAGCACATCTTTAACTGTTGCTCAAACCTCATGCTATTAATTTACAGTGAAAGAATATAGTGTTACCTGCTGATATAAAAAAATAATACTTATAGATGTGAGAAATGGGTGCACAGCAAAATGTTTAAAAATTTCCTTCAACAATGCACTACATCTATGAGAACAGCCTGGATTGTTATCTAAACTAACCACATACAAAAAAATCTGCAAATTTGGGGTGAAGATCTCAGAACTTCTGCTTTTCTGTGGAGGTTTTTTTTTAAAAAAATATTTTTTTCTCCTAATAGATGCAGCTTCTGGTTATGCTTGAAGCATCACAAATAGCCATCTTCTGCAGCTTAATGTTTCTTTCTTGTGCCCCAGCTGGCACCTGGCAGTGTCTATAAATGAAAAGTAATGAGGAATTAAAAGTATCAGAGGAGATTTAAATGGTTTAGCTTTGGTTTAGGGGAGAATGGTTGTTTGCAAGTGTTTGTGTCCTTTTCAAAAAGGCTTGCCAGCTTTTAATTAGAAATGCATGTGACCATCAGTTACTTTTCTTTCCGTATTTATTGTTTGGTAGAGACAGGCCTCAAACAAAAAAACCAACCTAACTGTAGATTTAGATTTGAATATTGTTCATTGCTCATCTCTGGCATTAACAGATCTTTACAATAGCAAAATTATGGCTTTATAGATATATTTTAAAGATTTTTAATTTTTCAGATGACTGATTTTATTTTATATTGTCACTTTCATCTCTAATACACCCACCCATAAACAAATAAAAGCCACCCCAAAATGGGTAACTATGAGTACCTGGAAGAGTTAATTTTAATTTGATCACTTTTAGGTTAATTGATTAGATTATCATGGGTGTTCCATGGGCACTGAAAAAGGCTATATTTTAAAAGAGCATTTTAATAAATACTCATATTTTAAAACAAAAAAAGAGCACATTTAGATTAGGGACAATTGCTTGTTCTATTGCTGGTGTGATCAATTCTTTTTCCCATGCAGATGGACCAAAAACATTCCCATTTTTGCATTATCAAATTTATTTAAAATCTCTGCTTCTTATTTCTTATTCTGTTTCTAGAGCCATTTCATTTTCTAACTACAAATTGTGGCAAGTTAAGGAGTGTAAAAGTGTCATTGTGTGTTTTTTCAATTTTTATCATGATGTAACTCTGGAATTTTCTGGAATACTTAGTTTGTTGTCATTGGACAACTTGTATTAAGCGTGGGAGAGTAAGCAGATAACCAGTACCGTGTATAGTGGTAAATCATCAAGAAAGTCATCAAGCGTGGATGATCTCCAGTTCAAGTGGAATCCCGTTTGACCCATGAAATTGAACGAGCTGCAAAAACCAGTCTGTCCAGTTAGCTAGAGGCTGAGATTTCTTGAGGTGCCAGCCAATAGAGTAGGCTACAACTGACAAGTTTCACAAAGAGCTGTCTGACTTGCAGAAAAGGCAAAGAAAAATATCTAGAAAAGACAAGAGACAGATAGCAAAGCCTATAGCCAGGGGATTCTCCAGATCTTAAGGGTCTCCAGTTTAAGCCCAAAGCCATTCCAGAGTGATGAGGAAAATGAAGCACAGAAGGGGGCATTTATTGGTTTAACATTTTGCCTGGATCTGTGTATCTGGCTAGCTCTCAAATAACTTTTGTCTGACTGTCAAATATTTTTCTTTACTTAAGCCAATACTTCAAGTAGAGAGTTTCATTGTTGGGAAAATTTAACAGAGCAGCAGCTCTGGGATTATCTAGGAAATGGAAGCTACTATGGCCCAGTGTAGACGGCCCTTGCTGCAGGTACATAACAACAACCTTTCTTCACAACATGTCTGAGCGAGGACCTCATTACCAACTAAAGTTTATTCTCTAGTTGTTCTCTTACAATGAACAGATACTAGAAACATTCAAGGACCTCAATCAGCTAATACTGTAAATGAAAATAATAAGTAATGCTAGTTCTACCTTTCATTGCATGAAACTTCAGAGTTGATTCTTGACTACAAGCAGCAATGCTTCATTCAACTTGGTTATACATAAAACCAGGGTTACAGATGAAAGTGCAGTCTGTGTCACTGTTAATCTCTGAAAACAGTTTTCAGCAATATGGAGCTATTTTGAGATCCAGTTTAATTGTGACAGGCACAAACTGGATGGGACCCTTCAATTGGGTACTCACTGCACACAGAATAGATTTTCAACTTCTGCAGATGAGAAGTCTGGAAGTCTTGGCTTGGAGTTTCTAAAAAGTTTTTGATTTCTAACAAATACATTAGAAATTCTACATGTTGGAGGGAAAAGCATAAAAGACTGCTGAAGGAAATGCTTTTTAGCCCTGTGTTGCTATTTTTCTTATTATCAATTTTGACCTCCAACAATTCAGGATTGTCAGATGTAATGACAAAGGGCTCACTAGCTGTGATACATATATAAAGAAAGAAGGAAAGGTTTAGCATTGCAAACACAATATACCCTGAAAGGATTTGTTATCACAAAATACCTAGTTGTGCTCAAGGATGGGTGGAGCTGCTTTGAGATATAACAAAATGAAACAAAACCACCCTCTCTTTGATCTGATCACAGCTCAGTGTATGAGGAATGTATGTCAAGTGAAGGGCGATGCATGAGCCTGGCCTGTGGCATCTCCCCATTCTCAAGCATCAGATGGAAAATTTTGGCTATTTTGCATAAAAGCTATCCCACAAAAGTGTTCCAAAGTTTAAATAATTTTTAAAGAGATAAAAAGTATAAATAACTGAAGAAAAATAAAGCGTGCAATAAGTTGCTAACTCAGATGTGAGATGGGGTGCAGAGTCCCCACACTTGAGAAAGAGGAATCTGTCTTAATTTCAGACAGATCTGTGTAATAAGAAATTCTTCCACCATTCAGGTTGTTTTTTGAGAAATTGTATTTATTAGCATTATAAATCTGTGAAGTCATTTGCAAGTATGTCTTATGTAAATACATATATTATGGCTCAGAGCATCTGGCATGAATGTCTCCTCAGTGGCTGTGGCCTCCCCCTGCTCCTGGGAGCAGAGGGTGATCTCTTGTGTGCGTGAAGGGCACGGTTCACCTACGTGTGCACAGAGAATCCAGTACTTTGGGCCTTCAGCATACAGACTGGTGTCAGAATTTTAGCCGTACAGTTGCCTACGTCACCTGGTGAGGGACAGCCCCTAGGAAGTGACACCTCTGCTGTAGGAATACACTGTGTGGGCTCCAGGGCAAGAGTCTGGGCCCATTGTTTCAGAGTGCCTGGCTGCAAGCACAGACGTGTGCGCCGAGCTGGGAGTGGTGCTGATCATGTTTTTGGAAACAGGGCTGACTGCAGCGTCAGTAGGCAGCAGTGACAAAACAAAAACCAGTTTAAAATGAATCATAGGAAGTTTACTGTATTACAAGCATGCTTATTTCTGTTTATCTGGAGGTATAGAATTATACCTCCTTAAATTTCTGCTCCTTACAGAACTGTCTGAATTATCTGTTATGCCTCTTTAACAAGCCCCCATCTGTGCTCATGGACCAGTTTCTTCATTTTAAAAAGGGTAGAATTTTGAACAGGATCTATTCAGACACATCTAACAAGGGAAGCTTTATAAACAATATTGACACATTCAATGTTAAGTGACCTGCCTATTCCTTCTCCTCCTCCTAATGTCAGATTGAGTTGAATATGTTTCAAAACAGTAATAGTAATTTTTAAAGATGACCACAGTGTAAATCAGTCAGCTTGCACACCAGTATCAGTTCATATACCTTTTTCTGGGTACATCTGTTTCTCACCGACATTCTGTGTCTATAAAGTCTCGTGTTCTGGAGGTCATTACTACCTCCATTCATTTAAAGTAAGACTGCAGGTAGGTGTAGCCCTCATTTCTGCCTTGAGAAAGGCAGCATAAGAGATCACATGAAAACAAAAAGTAGTTATTTCTTTTTTTCCAGACAATTTCAAATGCTTAGCAGTAGAAACCTAGAATGGGATTTAGTAAGTACAAATTTAGACTTAAAACAAAAACATCCCAAAACACTCTACCTGCTTAAGCTGTAAAGTTTTACAGAAAAGAACCACAAAAAAGAAGAGAGAAAGAAAGG